GCAGGAACATCGGCAGTCACAATTTTCTCACTGCAATTGGCACATAATTAGAATATTACATCACATACATGTGTGCATAAATGCATCACTAGAAATAAAGCAAATAAGCAATGCAGAAATATCGGAACACAGACCCACTCGATCCATGGAAATAGCAAGCTTTCATCTGAACAAGGTCCACAAGACCCTGGAATTTTTCTTCTAAACCAATTGGCACTTGCACAGCAGCGCTATGGTGACGGAGTTTGGCCCTTGCCTAGATGGTAAATTTTCAATCAGATTAGACAGTCAAAACCATAATGCTCGTAGTTTTATCATAGACATTGATAATTATAAACACCCCAGGTCAGCCTAAAGTAGAGCAAGGGGCATCATAAACTGATGCAGCACAAACCTGGTTCAAAACCTTCCATGGATCGGCTCCCATTCTGTCAAGTTTGTTGATAAATGCTACTCTAGGGACCTCATATCTCCTCATTTGTCGATCCACTGTGATAGACTGACTCTGCACACCACCAACACTGCAAAGTACCAGGATTGCACCATCTAGTACACGTAAAGCCCTCTCCACTTCAATAGTGAAGTCAACGTGGCCGGGAGTATCGATAATATTAATCTGCACAACGATTCCAACGAGTTTAGAGGAATGGATACTAATCTACTTGTTTTTACCACAGAAAACGTAAGAAATTTAAGAACTTTGCGAAATAGTGTGATAAAAAAACAATCAAAAGCTTGAAAAAACGGATTAGATAGGATTGGATAGGCAAGAAGCTACACAAAATATACGCAATTAGTCAACCAGCCACCCAAACATATCAAATTAAACGGCATCGAAACTGGAAAATCAAGGGACACATGATTAAGCACACGTAGGACCAAAACAAGTCGAACGAATTGCGAAGAGCTGCAGGCAAAACAACTAAAAATGGCAATATGATAAGAATTTTCACCAATTATAGGAGACATAAGGTGATACGAATCGATCAAGCCACTCGAGTCTAGAAAACGGAGGAAGTAGCTAAGCAAGCGATGAATCACCTGGTAATCCTTCCAAGTACAGTAAGTGGCGGCGGACTGGATAGTGATACCTTTCTCTCGCTCCAAGTCCATGGAATCCATCTTGGCGCCAACGCCATCTCGGCCTCTGACCTCGTGAATTTCGTGGATCCGACCCGTGTAGTACAGAACTCGTTCGGTCAGCGTCGTCTTCCCGGAGTCTATATGAGCAGAGATCCCGATGTTGCGGAGCCTCTCCATCGATTCCTTCCACCATGGTTCTTTCTCCTCTTTCGATGCACGGGCGGCGCTTCCGGCGGACAAATGTCGGAGCTGGAAGTCTCCGGAGAGAAGCGCGGCGGTTAGCGATGACGACGGCCGTTTGTTCGAGCAGAAAATCCTCTGGAGGAGACTGGGTGATGGAGATATCGGGAAGCGACCCATAGTTTTGTGAGAACGAGGGCTTTAGGAAAATGGTGTTTCTGAGCAAAACCCTCGACCCCGACAACCCAGGCGGAGGTACAATAGAGGGTTTTGATTTGAAGTGGACGAGGAAAATCAGACCCAAAACGCCGTCGTTTGTCATGCTGACGTCGCCATCAGCCAGAATTTTAATCAGAATTCATCCAAAACTGTGAAAAAAACTTACAATGAATATTTATCTTTATATAATTTTTTTCTCCTTTGATCACACGGATTTTAATAGTTTTTCTAATATCATATACATCGGTTTAACTCATCTTTTAGGTATTTTGGGGATATTATTTTATCACAAATTGGACTCGATCATATACAGATCGACATATTTTAGAGATTTCATGGGACTTTTGACGAAAAAAATGAGATTTAAAAACCCAAAAATAACTAGAAAGAGTAGACGGGTCGTTCATATTAATGAACGACCGTCCAAAAATTGATTGTTACAAATAAGTGACCCAGTGTAAATGAGCAACCTAGTGTAAAAAATGAACGACCGTCTAAAATGCTGATGATGGAGTCGAATGAGTGACTCGATCACTTAAATGAGCGGACTCTTAAAAGATCAACGAGAAACAAAATGAGCGTTCGACTCACTTAAATAAATGGACACATGAAAAATGATACTTTAACATTTAATCCAAAATAGAAAAGTTCGTTTGAAAGGAGAAAAAACTTAATTTTGCTTTTCATCAAAAGAGAGAAGAACGAGTTAAGAATAAGAGTCGTAAAACAAGATAAAGCTTGTTCGACTAAATTAAGACCTAGTATGCCTGAGAATGTGGAACGATTCTTAGAAAAACCTCTACACCTAGCTAGATAGTTCTAACAGTTTTGATCTCTAAACTATACTAACACTAACATTCCTCGATTCAAGCTACCGATTCGAATAAAACTCAACAATTCGAATTAGACCTAGGATAACCTAAGTTGATTCACTGAAAAATCAAAGAATCTCTGCTTTATTATTAATATGTCAGTTAACCATTCTCAAAAATATTTCTCTATGCATGTAATCCTATATGCAATTGCAATCTTAAAACTATATGTTATGCAAAGTATGCAAAAGAGCATGCAAAACTACTGCAAATTTATGCAATATTTGTAGAACAAAAATTTTAAAAAAAAAATTGAATGATATGTAGAAATGCATAAAAATGTGAAATGCAGAGGTTAGAGTTGGTGGTTGCTCTAAGTTCGACCTCTTCCACACTTGAACTTGATACCGTCCTCGGTATCAATCCGAACCGTTAGGGTTTCAAACCGATAAAATGAAAGAAATAATAAAAAAGAACAAAAATGAGGAAAGAGAGAAAGGATGCTTAATGTAATTCATTTCAATTCGTGTGTATATCCTCTATTCTTTTTGGCGTCTGCACGTGTTCTTGTGTCACCCTTTCGCCGTTTTGATCGTTTGGTTCGCGTTTGCTATGTTCCTCTGTGCCACGTAATCAAAAGTGCTAGAAGCGCGCATCAATAATGTAGAGGAAATATAATCTCAAAATAAAACAAACATCCAAAGCTCGGTGTTTCATTGTAAACAATTTTGATAGGGTCATGTCTTGTTGGGCCTTGGTACGCCCAAAACAGACCCAAAACGGAGAACAGATTAGAAGTCTCTAGAAGACGGTGGAGTTCTTCAACTCCCAACCTAATTGGCTTGTGTCGTGAACTCGAGTCGAGCGCTTGTTCTGCAGAAGAAGAAAAAAACCTTATCCATGGCTTCTTCTTCTACTTTCGTTTCACTGCCTAAACCCTTCTTCGCTCTTCCCGTCAGAACCAATGCTCATCCTCTAGCTAATCAGAGGCTCTCCGGTACGCTTTCCGAGACAACTCTTTTGTGTAGAGATCTTCATTTCAATCTGCTGTTTGGCGTTCTTTTCTAACGAGGGTTTCTTTGTTTAAGGGTTTCGGAAACGTTCCCTCAGAATCAATGCCGTTTCGACCAAATGGGATCCGGCTAAGGTGCTGCCTTGTCGTCCCCTCTTGCCCCTTTTGCAGGATATGATCAATCTTTAGTTTAATCGGATAAGATTTCCGCTTTTTCCATGGTTTTTGTAGGTTGTTCCTCAAGCAGACAGGGTCCTTGTCCGTCTTGAAGAGCTTCCCGAGGTTTGTCGCTTGGCTTTCCTTGCAACCCTTTGCCCTGATTCATTGAAAGAAATCGATTTGCCAATTGAGAGCTTGATTTTAATCTCTGGTTCCGTGGGAGTTTTCACCCGTTTCATCCCGTCCTTTGATTGAGTCTCCTGCTGCTGAGTCTATTACGTGTTGCAGATTTGTCTGAATGACGCAGTTTACACGTGACACCGAAGCGACTCTGTAATTCAAGAAACCAAAATGAAAATCAACCGAAAAATAGTTGACAGGGATGACCAATATGTGTGACTGGATGGATGCAAAAAGTCTTGTGTCCTTTCTGTCATTGCACCTCCTTAGCGTTGAGCTATCATGGATGCGTGTCTCTTGGGAATTGTATCTGAAATGAATTCTAGGGCGGTCCTAATCCTCTCTTGCTGATGTTCGAAACCATGTTTCTGCAGAAATCATCCGGTGGAGTGCTCTTGCCGAAAGCTGCTGTAAAGTTCGAGAGGTACCTAACGGGAGAGGTAAGGCATCTCTGCAACTTTTTTTATGAGCTAAGAACGTTGGTGATGAGAGTCTTTATCAGTTCCATGTTGGGGTTGTAGGTTGTCTCTGTTGGTTCTGAGGTTGGAGGAGTTGCTCCTGGGAAGAAGGTAGAAATTTCTGGTGCACTCAAATTCCATGTGCTTCATTTTCAATTCACTGTGGTAAATCATCTTTTCGTGTCTTCTCTTGCCTTCGTCTCACAGGTTCTGTTCTCCGACATTAGCGCCTATGAGGTAAGTTGCTTTCTCGATGAAGTTACTCGCTCAATGTAGGATTTATTCAACTGAGCACCGTCTGGGCGTTTTGTCAGGTTGATTTGGGAGTAGATGCTAGGCATTGCTTTTGCAAGGAGAGCGACTTGTTGGCTGCCGTCGAGTGAATGCTTGCTGGCATTGCCTTGCCTTAACGATCTATGCAAAATGGGTCTCAGGTTTTGGTTATTCCGTGTTCTACTTTTCAAGGTTGTGTAGGAACATTCCTGTAATCTCAGATACAGAATCATCTTGCTATCCATTCTTGTCGTGTCGCCGAGTTTACAATAAGAGCAGCGTTGCTTTGGTTGTCTGGAAGTGATGGGTCTCTTTTGTCGGAGATTAACAAGAGCAGCAGTCCCCAAACAGATTCGGATATCTGGATGTCGGAGAAAGAGAAGGAAAAGGGGAAAGCCCAAGAATCGGTCTTAACAGCTTCTTGGCTGAAGAGCCATTCATCACTGTCACTACGTTGTCCAGATTTATCCAATCCCAGATCTGTTTGGAAGGGGACAATCGTGGAGGATGGTTAGATTATCAAAGGAATAACCAAACGAAAGGAACACGACGAGACAAAAAAAAAACTTGAGAGATTTGTATTTGTTCAATCAAGGCAGTAGGAGGCAACATTTCATGAAAAACCTAACCGAACCAAAAAATATGGCACGGTTCTAAATTATCGAACGGTATTATTTTTAGAAAACTAAATTTTTTGGTATTGAACCAAATCGAATTTTAAAAAATTCTGGAAAACTGAAAATTTTAAAAAAATTCTAATTTTTTTTTTAAATCAGAATCCGAACCAGAATTAAAACCGAATCGAATCGAATATAAAATAAAAATCGATTGGTATCTATTTTGGAGAATTGAAAAAACTAAACCGATATATTTCTATCCCGAATCTGAACCGATTTTCGAAACGTTTACTCCTAATATCCATCGTTCGAAAATTTGCGGATGAAGTATCCGAATCTACAAAGATTTTAGAATTTTTTTTTTTGTTGAACTACATTGACTTTAGATATGATGTCAAAAATAAATTCAAGGTATTATCGTTGTGATCTAGAAGTTACGAGTTAAGATATTGTCGTTGTACAGAGGTCACGGGTTAAGGGACGCTTTGTGCTGGTGCACAAATCCTTTACTGAACCCGAGAATTAGAAGGATTTGTGCTCTCGTTGGGTCGTTGCTCTCGTTTTCGTGAAATCAGAGGTATTATTCAGGGATCCAGTCGAGGAATCACGTGCTTGTCACGTGCTACGTCTTAGGACTTGTCGGCCAGAATTAGTAACATTGACTAGCCCGGCCCATTTTCAGGTGGAGCTTTCCCGTTGGGCCTTTGAATTGCAAAAAGATACACAATAATAACAACCAAACCATTTTAAAGAATATCAAAAATACCCTCCATTTGGCGAGAGGCGAGCGGATCTCCCGGCGGATCCCTCCGGACAATCTCCATTACTCCCGGCGAGATCCCGACGTGTTCGTTCTCTCTTCAGTAGATCTTCCAAACTATGGCTCCGGTGTCGGCTCTTGCCAAGTACAAGCTCGTGTTCTTGGGAGATCAGTCCGTCGGAAAGACCAGTATCATCACTCGCTTTATGTACGACAAATTCGACAACACGTACCAGGTACTTTCATTTCGATCCCCGGATCATACCTGAGATGCGCGGCATGGCTCGATTTTGTGGGATTGTTGTCGGGGAATCATGTGGGTTGGATTATTTCCTGATCTCGTGTTTGAATCTGTGTATTTACCTGCTAATCTGTTTCGTAGATCCTCGCTTATTAGACGTGAATTCTGTATTTAGTCTTGAGTTTGCTGTACTCGCGACTGAAAATCCTCTGATCTTGATGTGACTATGGTCGTTGTTCAAGATAAAACTTCAGATTTCTGCAGTAGTATAATAAATTTTCATTCTGTGCGGAATTTACAATTCAGAACCTTTAGGTAACGATCCATCCCAAACTGTCATCACTCTACATGTTTGTTTGTTTATCACCAGGCCACAATCGGTATTGATTTTCTATCCAAGACAATGTATCTTGAAGATCGAACTGTCAGATTACAGCTCTGGTACGATTCTGAACCCGGTGTTAGTGTTTTAAACGCCGAACAGTAACATCACACATCATAGTTTAAGAATTAACCTGGAGGCTTATGACATTGGCAGGGATACGGCTGGGCAGGAGAGGTTCAGGAGTCTTATTCCAAGCTATATCAGGGACTCGTCTGTTGCTGTCATTGTGTACGATGTTGCAAGTATGTGACCTTCGTCTTTCTCTCTACACTTCTCAACTGCGTGCGTGCATTCTTTCCCAGTGTCCATTTAGTGGCTAATGGCTATGGCATGTTAGTAATCATACTAGCGAATGTGTTCAGATTCCTGAAAGTTGGTTGCTGTTTTCGTTTCTCCATGTGATTTAGGTAGGCAGTCCTTCCTAAACACTTCTAAGTGGATCGAGGAAGTTAGGACTGAACGTGGCAGTGATGTCATAGTTGTGCTTGTGGGAAACAAAACAGACCTTGTCGAAAAAAGGTAACCGATCATCTTACAACCTCCTTTTAGGCTCACGAGGATATAGTCCGTATTTCTGTCAGTGTTATTGAAATTGAAGAGTTTGGTTATTTCTTTCTGCCATGATAAGCCCGAGTTTAAATTTTGTAGATCTTATGTTTTCCAAATGAATAAATGGTTTATGCCTACCATTAAGTATCTATCTGCCTGCGAATGAATATCATTACGGTTTTTTTGCCTGGGTCCGATCGAAAGGCTGTGTAGGCAATGCGTGAACAAGCTTCCCAGTTTGATATAATGGCTAACGGATGTCGGTAACTGCCAATGGCCTTCGTACCTATTAATGTATTTGATTTACAGGCAAGTGTCCATAGAGGAAGGAGAAGCCAAGGCTCGTGAGCTTAATGTAATGTTTATTGAAACCAGTGCGAAAGCAGGCTTCAACATAAAGGTAAAACGACCTACGGCTTCACATATTTACACTTTCGATTTCAACTGAGCCAGATCAGTTGAATGCTTAGGTTCTTTTGTAAACATGCTTCTCATTCATTTGGCTCGAGTCGATCTCGATGTTATATGATCTTCGGGTCATGCTTTATAAACGACGCGGTCTGGAAAACCCTAACAAAATTTAATAATTATGTGATCAAGGCGCTATTTCGCAAGATAGCTGCAGCTTTGCCCGGGATGGAGACATTGTCATCGACAAAGCAAGAAGAGATGGTCGATGTCAATCTCAAGTCTTCGAACGCAAACGCATCTCAGGCCCAGCAGCAATCCGGAGGATGTTCTTGTTAATGTCACAGACAGATCAATAGAAGTGAAAATGAAAAGAAATGGGCATACGCCCATCTGTAAAATTTTTGTCTGCTTTCTCAGTTTCCAACTATACGCGGCGCTTTGGCTTTTGTCCATTCGTTTCGAGAAAGAATTTGGTATTGTTAATCTGGATTTTGTCCTAACTTTATCTTGGACTGTTGTCTAGTATTCGTGTTCTGGATTTACACTCGAAACGTGTGTGTCTTTGTTTAGTGTATATACCGCATAGGGATTGAGTGTGCCTTTCAATAGACTTAAAAAAAAAAAAAAATCCTTGCGTCAAGTTGTAAAACTGGGAGGAGAGTGGACGTTTTGGTTATCCATGTTTCTGGTTTCATTTTTTTTTAAAAGAAATTTTATATTTATGGGTTTATTTTTATAGAAATATATATTTAAATTTAATTTTAAATTTTTTTATAAATCTGTATTCATTTATGAAATTTATTTTATATAAAGTTATTTCAATTAGGATGTTATTTTAATTACAAATTATATGCATTTAGTTTTATATTGAATCATTTCAGTTATCTTTAGCTATGAGTTTGGTTTAACTTCAATTTTTTTTATCCATAAAGACATTGGTTTTTCAAAGATTTTTTGATTTTCGGTTAGTTTCTTTTTATTTGACTGTAGTCCATTTTTACAAAAATTATAATCATTCGTTTTTTATATCATATTAATTTTTTATTTATTATTTTAATCATTAACTGAATTAATAATCATTAACTGAATTAATAATCCGTAACTTCCACAAATACCATGGTAATTGATGAACTTCATTTTTTTCTCACAGCATAATCTTGAAACAGTCTTTATGTTCAGCCTTTATAGTAACTATTCAAGGACAACACACTCACCAATTTTAAATTTTATGAACTCACTTCAATAGTATTAGGAATCTAATGAGGGAAAATATCAAAAATACGTTTCAAATGCTATAAGGTTTCAACCGTATGTTTGGTTAACAAAAAAATTTAAACGATTAAAAAATTCAAAATGTCCTTGCAAAAATACCTTTACCCAAAATGCATTTAAAACGTATGTTTAAAGTTTGCCCTCTTGAATCATGTGAATCGTTTTAAGTCATGTTATATGTAGAAGGGTGTTAATAAAGTTCGAAACACGAAATCCGAAACATGTATATAATAATATAGATCCGATAAATAAATGGACGGACCGACTCGATCCGAATAAATCTAGGTACAAAACCTGCCCCGCCCATTTTACATCCTTACATTAAAGAGATATTAGAAGATTAGATTTCTACTTTCAATCGAAATCTGGATCACACATCATAATAAAATTATTTTCATTTATGCGTGTTCTATATATATATATATTATATTTTAGAGAAATTTGGTTAATGTATATACTAAAATCATATATATTTTTACTCGACAACATATATATATATATATATATATATATATGTGTGTGTGTGTGAAAATACTTTAGCGGCTTAGATTTGACTTTTAAATTCTATATCAATGTTTTTTGTAGTTAATTGCACTAAATTGGATAATTCGATTTGGGAATTTTGTGAAATTGGTGTAGACATTTGTCAAATTAAAAATTCGTTTAAGAAAACATCACATTTTGCTAAATTGGTGTAGGAAAATGTCATTTTTCCATGTTTTTTCTATATAATTTTTTATTGTAACGAATATTTCTCTATATCCTCGATATATATATATAACAGATATTAGACAAATTTGTATATTTTAAAGTTTACACAGTCATTTTGTAGGTTTAAAATTATTTAATCGTAATAAATGCCAACAACATTGAGTGTGAATATCAAGAGTTGGAGTGTGATATTGATGTTGGATTACCATAACTGAAGAAGTCGGAACTCAAATAAGTGATAGAAAACGGAAAAAAATTTCTAGTATTTGGAATCATATGATTCGAGTAGATAGTGAAAATGTCGCTTGTAACGATTGTGGTAATAACTAATAATTATGCAATTTCATATCTCGAAACAAGGCATTTATTGTGGTATCGATGACTCTCTATCTACTTCCTTATCATCTAAGGTCGTCTTATCTCAATCTAGTATGGATGCGATATCAGAGAATTAATATATTATCAAAACTTTTTAGTTTTTTTTTTTAAAATACTTACTTTGTTATTATTGATTTTAAGAATATTTTTGTTAAATAACTCACAACGATATTGTTATTATTATTATTATTTTGTATTAATATTTATTTTTTATTAAATAGAGAAAAACGCGAAACTCTAGCCCAAACCCGTCCGAAATCTCATAGGGACGGACTCCAAACCATCGATCATAGATTCAAAAAATAAATAGATGGGTCGCTTCGACCCGAAAAAATCTATGACCAAATTAAGTCCGTCCCAAAACATGTCCGATCTGCCAATTTTACACCACCCCTATTGTATAGTGAGATGTATGGATTATAGTGAGTTATATGTATTGGAGTGGGTCGTAGCGAATTGTATTGAGTTAGATGTATCGGAGTTAGATGATTTGCAGTGAATCAAATTGTACCAAGTCAAAGTAGGCCACAGTGGGTCGAAATAAGTTAGATGAGTTATTGTGAATCAGATAAATTGTAATGAGAATTCAATCATAATGAATTGGAGTGGATCGTAACGAGAATATAATCATTGTAAATCAAAGTCGCAGTAAGAAATTCATCATGAAAGAGAAATTAAATGAATGAAAAGGAGAGATAAATAATAAAAATAGAGATTAATTTGATTTGAATATTATTAAAGGAAGAAGGACAATGTTGACATTAAGGTAATGATTTTTTTTTTTGTATGATGAGATTTATTATTGAACCATTGTAGCATTTGAAGCATTTTTTAAAATTTATCCATCTAATCATATAATTTGGTTATGTAATACATAATATCTATATCTCATTTTGAGATGGATACCGGTGTCACCGACTAATTTAGGTCGAACTCGATCCGAGGATTTCAGATTCAGGTTCGAACCGATTCGATTTTTTAACTAACTAAATAATCAAATCTGTATCCTTGCTCTATAGACTTTGGACTCGGACTCGAGTCAGATCGACCTGCTCAATTTATTCTTTACAATTTTTTTATTTTTTCAAAAAAAATATTTTGGATTTTTGGGTTCGCATAATCCCGATTTGAATCCGAGTTGAAAACATAAAACCGGATATCCGCCGCACCCACCCATCATCAGGAATCTCATTTGAATCTCATTTGGTTTAAAATTTTCATGAACTCAACTTTTAGGAATCTAATAATCATATGATTTGTATGAAAACTATAAATGCAGGAAAAATACTCACATATTCCCCCCCAAAAAAATCCACAAATTTAATTAACTCCTCCAATCTTACATAGGTGTTCTTTTAATCACCCCAGATTTCATACTAATTGCCATTTTAAAGTAAATGCGAGGGTATTCCCGTCATTTCACTCACGACGGTGATGAGTTTTCCCCAAATCGACGAGCTTCCTCGACCGGTTCGCGCACCGAGACGACGCCGTCCAGATGTGAGGCCTCGCCGGAGCTTTGGAATCGGCGGAACACCTGAATTGCAGCGGCAAGCTTCCTCTCCGTCTCCCATGGCGGCTTGGGCTCACCCTCACCAGCGGGCTCAAGCAGAAGGCCATCCCCGACACACTCTTCACAAGCCCTGCGCGTGGCTTCCTCCTCGCCGGTGTCCTCTTCAAATTCCCAGGCGATTCCCCGACGGAAGCCAGCGTCGGGGGCTCTGGCTCGTCCTCTGTCTCCTTCTCCCGCACCGGCGACATTCCCCGCCGAGGTTTGCTATTGCAGTCGGCGATCAAGCCCTCGATGAAGGACGAGCTGGGTTGCTTCTTCACGCGACCGGAGATCACCGTCTGGAGCCAGGACCAGGACGATGACGACGTAGTGGAAGCGCGGCAGGAATGACTAGAGGACAACCTACGATCCAAGACAGATGGCTCGAGACCCGAGTCGGACTCGTCAAATTTGGCCCTGAAGAGAGTGGACAACCGACAGAAACCTCTTCTTTTCTTCTTTATCGATTGGTCCGAGACGGAATCCGCCACCAAGCCGCTACCCCCCACAAAGCCGCTGACGGATGGGCGGGGATCCACCTGAGAGGTGGAGAAAGAGCGGTGGTGAGAGAACAATGGGAGATCTCCGGCATCGGATTTTCTGGTAGAGACGTAAGGGGAAACGGGCCGAGGCGGAAGATCAGGTCGCTGGCAATGGCGGTGATGGCCGGCGGCGGAGAGAAGACGTTCGCGGAGGCAGGATGCGCAGACGCCGACGGAGCTGCTCCGATCAACGATGTGCCGTTTACACCTCATGTGGAGGGAGAGCAAATGTTTGGTAAATTTTCGAATTATAAAAAAAATGATAGGGCAATATAAGACAGCAATAGAATGAAACAACCAATTTATAGTGAAAACCCTTTTAAGTGTGAGAAGTAAAAACTTGTACGAGTGAGATTACAACCTCCAATAAACGAGTGAGATTACACAACTAAGGATTCACAATAATCATACCATTATTAAGTCCGATTGGGGAAGAGTCCACCCTATGATTTGAAAATCAATTGGACTTTATTGGCGTTTGACTAAATGTTTCATGAAGATGGTTTTTTGTTATAATATGGTTGTAAGATCGCGAAGCGGTTTTATGGAAGTTTCGAAGATTTTTTTTTTTTTTTTTTTTTTTTTTGGTTTTAAGAGAGAGAGGAATAATGAGGAGAGAGAAACAGTAATAAAAATGTAAAATCCTGAATGCGCAACGTAGCGTTAGAAAATCAGGTTCTGATTACAACTAACATATATATATATATATATATATATATATATATATATATATCTTTTAATTACTTTAATGTGATTTGTAAGATAACCGATCCTTCATTGACTTGTCCCTTTTCCTATGTTTTCCTGCCGTTGACCATTTCTTTTTTCATTTCAACCAAAAACCCATGAAATAAGTTGTAAATGATTTGCTCAGCCACTGGCCTCACATCACCAATATAAATAAATATGCTTTGTAAAGTGGACGTGGTTCCGAAACGTCGTCGTTTTGTGCATCCACACGCTCCCTTCCGTTTTCTTCGGACACACCCACGTGTCCTCCGATCCGTAAAGCCCGTGCGTTTCTCCACGTTTATTTTATTGGGCTTGGCCTTTATTCTCGGGGCATTATGGGCTTTGTGGGCCTGTTAACATTATTTGGGCTTATCACTCATCCTAAAAAGGATCAAAAATGAAGAATGTTCATCATGCGGTTGCTGACGTCACCGTTTTGTGGCCCCTCTGAATTCGAACATTCTTTTGAAATTCGAAAATTCAAACGCGTTAAGCACAAGGCAGCCAGACTTTTCCGAGGTCCCATGAGCCAGGACGAAGGAAAAGATAATAAGACCGTACCGTCCGATTCCAAGACAAGGTCAGACGAGGCGGACGGTTTTAGCAATATTGTCCTAAAGCCATCCCTTTTCTAACGTATTCTCTCTCTCTCCCTGACTTTCTCTCTGGTTTCCTCTATTGGCCCCTACTTGTTCTTGGTCTCTGGTTTTCGTTTCAAATTCCTGGGCTTTGGGCAGAATTCTTGCGCCCTCTCCTCTGAACTGATTTCCTATTTCCAGAATTCTCTTCTGAAGCATAAGGACGAGGAAGATGACAACCATGGAGAGCTTGATTGGTTTGGTTAACAGAATTCAGAGGGCATGTACCGTCCTCGGCGACTATGGCGGCGGTGACAACACTTTCTCTTCTCTCTGGGAAGCTCTTCCCTCCGTCGCCGTCGTCGGTGGCCAGGTGAATCCCCTTTCAAAGCTATGGTTGCTCTTAAGACCCTAAATTTTCCTCCTCTTCCTCTGTTCCTTCTTAGTTTGCTTTTGGGTTTTGCTCTTTTTGGTGGGCAGAGTTCTGGAAAATCTTCCGTTCTTGAGAGCATAGTTGGAAGAGACTTCCTTCCTAGAGGATCCGGTTCGTGCTTGTAACCTTCCCCTTTTCACGTTTCTGGGTGTGATTCTGAGATGAGGTTTGTGTTGCAGGTATCGTTACGAGACGGCCTTTGGTGTTGCAGCTTCATAAAATGGAAGATAAAGCAGATGAACATGCTGAATTCCTTCACCTTCCCAAGAGGAAATTCACCGATTTCTGTATGTATCTTACCTGCATCACAGTTCACGATTGTTGTTCCAGAAATGCTAGTGGCTGTTCTTAGTGTTAGGTTAAAAGCTACACGGAATTCATGAGGAATTCTTTCTTGTTGCAGCATTGGTTCGCAAGGAGATTCAGGATGAAACAGACAGAATCACTGGCAAGACTAGACAGATATCTCCTGTCCCCATTCACCTCAGCATATACTCTCCAAATGGTCAGTTCTGTTATTACAGCAATCACTGGTCTTCCCTTCCATGTTTCTCTTGTTTGTGGCGTTTCTTCCTTCTGATTCTGATATTGATTCTTGAAACAGTTGTGAATTTGACCCTTGTGGATTTACCTGGTTTAACTAAAGTTGCCGTTGGTAAGTCCTAAGTATAACCCTTTCTCTTAGTCCCATCTTTCTTCATAATAGATATATATTTGGTGCTAGTGTTAAGGTTTTGATCTATCTTTTCTTTTCAGAGGGACAGCCCGAAAGTGTCGTTCAAGACATCGAAGCCATGGTGCGCTCATACGTTGAAAAGGTGAGGAGCTTTTGTCTTCTTTGCGTAAACTGATGAGGCAGTATCGTTTATAAGGTTTATAAACCCGTTTGAGATTTTCCGTTTCTCTTTATGGACGGTTCTACTGTCCTATAGATTTCCAAATTTGATCAGTTCAATGCATTGGCAGCCCAACTGTATAATACTAGCTATATCTCCTGCCAACCAAGACATAGCCACTTCTGATGCTATCAAGCTTGCAAAAGAAGTAGATCCAACAGGTTTGTTTGTTTTGCTGTTTCAAATTGATGACGAACCTTGCAGAAGTAATTGGATTATGTGAATTTTGAACTGTACTAGGTGACAGAACATTTGGTGTTCTGACCAAGTTGGATTTGATGGACAGAGGAACCAATGCATTGGATGTAAGTCTCTTTTCTATGTTCCTCTGATCTGACACAATTTTTGTCCTTTCGCTGTATCCGTATACATTTTATCCGACGATTGTAAGATATTCTTATTTATTGGCTAAGGTTCTGGAAGGAAGATCATACAGGCTGCAACATCCTTGGGTCGGGATCGTGAACCGTTCACAAGCAGATATTAATAAGAATGTAGATATGTTGGTCGCGAGACGGAAGGAACGGGAGTATTTTGAGTTCAGCCCTGACTACGGACACTTAGCCAACAAAATGGGTTCGGAATATCTTGCAAAGCTTCTATCTAAGGTTCTAAATCGAACCCGGAATACTTCGAAATATCATCTTTCTGTATTTATAATCTAAGTGTACTTGAAATGGTGGCGATATGTTTTTTGATTTTTCAGCATTTGGAGTCGGTTATTAGGGCTCGGATTCCGAGTATCTTATCCCTAATAAACAAAAGCATTGAAGAACTTGAAAGGGAGTTAGATCATTTGGGTAGGCCTGTTGCTGTCGATGCTGGGGTGAGTTTCATTATACGAAACTCTCTCTATCTGTTATGACTGCTGTTTTTTTTTTCCCATCTGTGCTAAGTATTTCGGTCTCAGGCTCAATTATACACAGTCTTGGAGATTTGCCGGGCGTTTGATAAGATATTCAAAGAGCATTTGGATGGAGGGTAAGTAATAAAATATCATGACATCGTTTTCTGTTTCTGCCCTGGTCGGTCCATGTTATATTCTGAACTTAAAATGTTACGTTCTTAGGCGACCTGGAGGTGATCGTATCTATGGAGTATTCGACAACCAGCTTCCGGCTGCTCTGAGAAAACTGCCTTTCGATCGTCATATTTCCTTGCAGAATGTGAAGAGAATTGTCTCGGAAGCAGATGGGTACCAACCTCACTTGATTGCACCAGAGCAGGGCTATCGACGCCTAATCGAAGGGGCCCTGAACTATTTCAGAGGTCCAGCCGAAGCTTCTGTGGATGCGGTGAGGATTGTTTTTAAAAAAGTCTTTGGCTTTTCCACTCCATCTTCTTCATCTTTGAGCTGAAGTCCCACCCATTTATGCAATGCTGCAGGTTCACTTTGTGCTGAAAGAGCTTGTCAGAAAGTCGATAGCAGAAACAGAGGTGAGATTGATTCTTTAGAAACTGTTTATGATGTTCTTTAAAGATGGAGAACTGAAATCTTGTGGCAAAAGCAGGAGCTGAAGAGGTTTCCGTCTCTGCAAACAGAGATAGCTGCCGCAGCCAACACTTCATTGGAGAAGTTCCGGGACGAAAGCAAGAAGACGGTTGTCCGGCTGGTTGAAATGGAAGCTTCTTATCTAACTGTCGAGTTCTTCCGGAAGCTTCCACAGGAAATGGAGAAACCTGGACCGGGAGCCGTCACTGCCACGTCACCCACAACAGACAGATATGGTGATGGTCATTTCAGAAGGATAGCGTCCAATGTATCAGCGTACATAAACATGGTATCAGACACTCTTCATAACACCATCCCCAAGGCCGTTGTCTGTTGTCAGGTCAGAGAGGCAAAACTCTCGTTACTCAACTTCTTCTACTCACAGATTGGCAAGAGAGAGGTACGTTTGTCTCAATCTTCCACTTCTCCTTCGAATTTTCTGTGTCCCGTGGAACAAAACATATGTATGTCACAATGGCACCCGACGATCGGGAAAAGGGAAATCGTGTATTGCTCTTGGCTGAAGTCCTGTGTATATACAACCGGAACACAACCAGAAACCTAGCAAAATAAGGAGAATCTATACTAAATCTGATCACAATAGGTAACTAACTAGATTGTACAATATATGTAATATACGTTGGCGATATACTCGGCAATAATGTACGATGATGTCTTGTCATAGAGATATTGGTAGAGAGGATTACAATATATATATATATATATATATATATAATACAATAGTAGGATATCTGATTTACTTAATAATTATATACATATAAATAAAATCAAATAATATGTTGTAGTTTGAACTCGAACTTCGCCTTAGTCCCAAATTTTTTCGGGGTCGGCCGCATGAATTCTTCATTCATTCTGCTGGTTGCGCCTTGAAACTTGTGAATTCATTGCATGTGAGATTTGACATTTGTTTTCTTTGGTTAGCTGCCAACCTATCACAAAACCCTCCTCTTTTATCCGGGCTTGGGACCAGCTAGACAAGAGCAAGCTCCTGCCTAGGCAGAGTTAAATAATATGTTGTAGTCTTTTCGAATATTCTCTATATCTGTCATATACTGTCGTTTCATTCTTGGCAGAGTAAAGAGTTAGGACAGCTACTGGACGAGGACCCGGCATTGATGGAAAGGAGACTGGAGTGCGCAAAGAGGCTTGAGCTATACAAGAAAGCTCGGGACGAGATCGACTCTGTTGCTTGGGCTCGATGACTCGGTGAGTGTTGCAGTAATAATAGGCCGGGTGAGATTCTTTGCTTCTATTCGAGGTTTCTTGTGACATTTGCTTGTATTATTCTGCTATGTCTTTGTATTTATCAGATCTTTCGAGACAGTTTCACGCAGAGGAATCCGGTCTTATGATTATTTTTTTGCTTTGAATGCTGAGGGTGTTGTAAAGTTTCTGTTGGGAAAGGAAACTTTATCACTGCTGTTACAACCACTTGGCGTTTAACATTCGGGAATGTTGACTGCGTGCCGTTTTTTTAGACCATAATGAAAGGAGGGACTAGGGGTTTGTAGACGTGGATAATAGTTAAACCGGGTTCAAGCCGGTGCATGATTATTCTGCTCTCTTTCAGCTGTCGAGATTTTTGATGGTTTGGTTACTTGAGAATCCGTCATTGAAATAGAATATATATATATATATATATATATATATATATCCTTTTACTATAATGTATTCTATTTCTTAAACATAGACTTAGTACACGTTGGATTTTTACCCATTTAACAAGAATTGGAATTGCGGATAACCTTGAATCTCTATTCTCTAGCATGTTAGAGAACGTAAGAATAAAGATTTCTCTGAGTTTACAAGTCAGACAATCAGATTTTTTTGTCTTAAAAAATCTACATGTGGACTATGTTTTCTCTGTAAGAAACAAAGATTTAGATATAATTTGGGGACCATAACCCATCGATATGACCAAAACCCGAGGTACATAAAAAATTATCAAATTAAACCATCATAAAATCAGCAATTATTCAACAATTCTAAATTAACTCATTATACTTATTCAATATGATATTATTAGTACACATAATTATTGAAAATAATCCAACCGTACGTACTTGCTAAGCTTATTAGAAAGCCTCTTCTAACCCGAACCGGTCGACAAAATTAAATATCTTGTCCTCGACCAAAGCACTAACAGTCCTATCCTTCATTCCTTGGTGTCCCTTCCAAATCGGAATCCTCAATCCCTTTGTTTCTCTTCTTCAGGATTTCTCTAAACCACATTGCCGACATTTTAGGGCATCGTTTGAGACCGTTGTTGTAATCAACGTAAAACAGACCGAACCGGATTTCATATCCGTTGTTCCACTCGAAGTTGTCGAGCAACGACCACGCAAAGTATCCTTCCACTCGGCATCCATCCTCACTGCAACCATACGTTTCTTGCGTCTCAAGAAACGGGTTTCATGTAGGTATGTACGTATGTATGTATATATGTATGTATGCATGCATGCATGTATGTATGTATATGCTATAGTTACTCACTAGATGGCTTTGTGAAGGCTATAGAGATGCTTCTTGTGGTACTCCGTCCTCTGTATATCCATCAAGCTGAAGAGCTTCGGTTTTTTGTCGCACCCTACATCGCAATATCCTGATGTACATGAATTTGAAAACAAAAATAGTCAACAATTTTGTTTTTGGATTAGCTGCGACTAAAATATTGGGTTATAAATTATAATTTCGAATTAGATCTCGTTTATATTACCGTTTTCGGAAATTATAAACTTAGGGTTCCCGTATTTGTTCTTGGCGTAATTTAGAACTTTCCTCAGCCCCTGTGGGTGCAACATCAACCACTCCACACCACCCTGAAAAAAGTTGACAGAAATACTTCAGTGCATATGCATATAAGAACTTAAGCACGTACTCTTGCATGCATGCACGCATTGTTCATCGCAATGCTTGATGCTACTTTTAATTTTTTTATTACCTGGGATCCGATGCGCTTTCCATCCTTGTTGTATTCTGCAGAACATGAAAGAAAATGATTGCTTGCAACTCAAGAAACATATTCTTTCTTTGTAATTTTAACTGTTTAAAATCTTTTCCCTTGTCTCGATTTAGACTTACTCTTCCATTCAACATGCTGATCCGATCTCCAACTGGGTTTCTCAGAATCGGTTTCATCCATGTTTTTCACGTAAACAGCGCTGTAATAATTTATTCCGACGAAATCAAAAGATCCTGTTAGTTTCTGAGATTGGCTTGCGGTGAAGGAAGGCAATCGTTCTCCGACTATCTTCTTCATAACTTCTGGATAATCTCCGTACACCGTAGGATCCATATGCCTAGAAGAAAGATCGTGTATAGCCTTAGGCTCGGAACGCAACAAAAAACGTCTCATATCCTTTATTTGGGTTTCAAGAAAATTAACCAAACCCACCATCCAAACATGAACTCCATGGCTCGTTCTGCTGCTTCTTTATCATCGTCACAGTTCTGATCATAAGGTTCGTACCACAGAGGGCAATGCGCTATTCCTATCTTTCCATCTTTGCACTGCGATTCAGCCAAATTCGTTTATACAATATAATGTATATATACCTTCTTTTATGACGAAGAGTCGATCTTAATTAGTCACATGGTCCACGAGATCACAGTAAACTTTTCTTCAAAATGTGTTGAAAAGTGAAAGAAACGGTGTGTATATATATATATATTCTACATACATTATGGCAGTTCCTGAAGGCTTCAACGGCATTGGCATGGGCCAGAAGGAGATGATGACTGACGATATAAACCTCTCGGCCGGAAAATCCAGCCTCGCATGCCTTGTTCATGTACTTGGAAGCTCGTCCTGGTGCTTTTTTTCCCATGTCGTAACCACCCGTACTGTAAACCCATGGCTCGTTTATAGTGATCCACAACTTCACTCTGTCCCCGAATTCCTCGAAGCATATGCTTGCAAAATCCCGAAAATCGTCCCTGTATCCGATTTGATATTAGAAATTTAAAGTATTGTGAAGTTTGAATCCTCAGAATTTGGAAAATCGTCATACTTACACAACTTTTTCGCTTAAAAAGCCGCCGTATTCATCTTCTAGGGCTTGAGGAATATCCCAGTGGAACAATGTCACGAGAGGGGTGATTCCTGCTCGTTTTGTATCAGTTCGACCATGTATTATTATTACATGCACAAAATCATATACATATATATATATATATAAAGAAAATGATTGATTACCATTGTCTAACAGTTCATTGATGAGGTTATTATAATATTCAATGCCCTCGTTGTTGACTCCTTTGCTTATTTTTCCTTCTAAAATTACACAACATATACACAATGAGAAGACGAACTTATCAAGTTGATATATATATATATATATATATATATATGCATATATATATATGCTGTAATGATAAATAAAAAAAACAGATAAAAAGGAAGGAAAGCTAAGTATAACATACGAGGTAAGATCCGAACCCATGAAATGGAGAACCTAAAAGCATCCATGTTCATATCCTTCATTAGCTGGATATCTTCCTGTCAAATTTCCATATATATTTATGGCTTTAATGTTCACAAGAAGAATTTGTATATCCTCAAACAAAACATCTATACATAATTAATTTATACACTTTTGTAATCCTTGTATATACCTTGTAACGGTTATAAAAATCGACTGCCACGTCTGCATTAGAATAGCAATTTCTTTCTGCCAAATTCGATTATCAGTAAGCTTTTCAAATTGATGAAAACGCTATCCTCGAATGTATTGGTCGATCAATATATATATATATATATAAGTACCTGGAAACATGCGAACAAAGTTGTCCCAAATACTCTCTCCCCGAGACCCTTCCTCCACAGCTCCTTCATACTGACATTACCCCGAAAAACCATATCCTCGAATTAATGTATTGGTCGATCAATATATATATATATATATATATATATATGTACATGCATTCGGAACATTCAGCGTTGTAGTTTTTGTACATATGTATGTACCTGGAAAGCTGAAGAAGCGGTTCCGAACAAGAAACCCTCGGGAAAGGCAGCTCGGCCAAACGTATCCTCCGCGACATCAGATACTTTCTTCAATCTGTTGAACATTTTGTACCAATCCAGATTATTATACACACAAGTGCCACACACACACACACATATATATATATATATGTGTGTGTGTGTGTATGTGCACGCAACACAACCCAACAAATGCATCACATAAATGATTCGCTTAACTGTGTCATTGTTCGTTAGGTTTCACGTAAGCCCTGTCTTGGAGTAGCCTCGCCCTCGAACCCTGCAGTATACGTCTGCATGCATGCACACTCTACGATTAATATTATAAGGAAAAACTTTCCTTGTTTCTTCCAGTTTCAGAAACAAAATGCATACCGAATTTGGCGACTGAGGCTTATGATCCTGCTCTGGTAGAAGAAAAAAAAGAAGGGCTATATATATATATATATGTATATATAAGAACTGAAAAAAGGGAACTATACATTGTACAAAGAAATAAGAACTGGAGAGAAAAAATGGAGAAAGCAAAGTTGTGTTTTGTGATGTCTCTAAGTTATTGACTCCGGTTATGTTTTAATTAGTACTGGATTATCCCGGTTATTTCCGGTTTGGCGTGTGACGTTTCCATTGCAAGTCTACTTTAACAAGAAGCATAAGATTACATCCTTCCGCAAAGTGATCAAGCTATACTGGTGTTTTGCGCAAATGCATTCAACGTGTTTAATTTGATTTCTATCCTTTTAGTACCTCACATAACACGTCATTAATTTGGCTAACTCGGTGTTGGTTAAGGGATGATGGAGACGTTAGAACAATAAAGTCACTATAACCGAGGATATAAAATGAGATATTTATTGCGTTTTTTTAAAAAATCTACTTGAAATGTCTTTTTTTTTTTATATTCCGTAAGTTCACCAGGCTTTTGTCCAACTACATCTCTCAGAGGAACGGGGCAGCCCATGTGAAAACCCCTCTCCAACCAGAAATCGAACCGCCAACCTCTAAGTGTTTTGCACCCACCTGTTGACCATTCGCCCTCAAGTTGTTGGCTTACTTGAAATGATATTGTTTTAATTATGTAAGAATATTTAATTTTAATATGTATGCACGTATAATTTTAATTGCTATAATCTATTTCTCGTCCTAGCGCTGTATACATAAAGGATTGGACCTTTCTATCCTTGGACTAACATCTACAAAACAAACAAGTCCACTTCCGTTTCAATTTTTGCCTTTATTTTTTTGTTAGTCAGTGAATATATATATATGTAAGAAAAAAAACAAATACAAGATTTAGACCATAGGAGATGGTATATGATGTGAAATTCATATATATATATATATACACCTTTGTAAATAAAAAAGATACAAGTTTCATATGGAATTTCGATCTCGTTCTTCAAAATTTTCCAGCATTAGCTAAATACTACGGATTAAGTAAGATTTTGGTGAAACATAAAAATGATGTTAAGCAACAATGGCGGCAAAAACATTTGCATAATCTCGTTTTTTTTTTTGTATTTCAAGTTCAAGGCGGCGTACCAATAAATGTCACTTTCTCGTTTTACGAAGACAACATAAACTCCGTGTGTTGCGACTGACTTTGTCCAAGTACTATTCAGACATATCGTAAAAGAAAAGTCTGTAACCAGCTGTTTTCTGATCCTCCATGAGACTATAACCTTATACAATGAATTCAAATCTTAGATTATTCCAAGGAAAATTATTCAAAATTAGACAAGGTTTAAAGAAAATTTAATGTTGTCTTCCATCAAAACTGTATTCCTGTTTGATTTTTTTTTTAAAATAACTTTGACTTCGCGACTCAACAGATCGTGGACGATTGGTCAAATTTGGGATAGAAGGTAACTCCACCTTGAAGTTGAATGGTCGATTCTTGGCTGGTGGAGAGCGAGGTAATTTCTAGATTTATATGATCCATATACAAAGGCTACTCACGGTTCGGAGGTTTACTTAGTCAGTGCACCCGAAGGTAGCAGATTCGAGTCCTCTATAAAAAAAAAAAAAAAAAAAAAAAACTTTGACTTCGCGGCATCAGTTTCGACTTTTACTTGTGATGATGGACGCAAACGGTCGATGGTGGACTTGTTATTGTAATCTCACAGGCCCATAAGGTCCATATTTAGTTTGACCCTTTTTCTTCTTCTAATTAATTCCACGATAATTAAATTACAAATTATAATATGTCATATCGTTTATATGGAAAAAATATATAAAAAATATGAAATTTCTTCAAATTCAGTATGCTTCCGTTGTTCAAAGGAAAAATCCCAAATAAATGTATGCCCCCTAAAATATTAAATTTAATATTTTGTATATGGCCCCTAAAATTATCGAGACGGGTTTTGATAATTCATATGATATAGATTTATAAACCTATAAATAGATATTTGTGTAAACCATTTAGAACACACAAAAAATCACTTCAATACAGATCTATTATACATATTCTCATCTTCTTTTTTCGTTTTATATATATATTTTTGTAACAGTTAGCATGTGTCGCATTTTTTTTAATGAGTTATTATTCTGTATGTATTTATCATGATATATATATATATATATATATATATATATATATATATATATCACCGCTTCCCCTGTTTTTTTGTTTTGTTTGAGAATCGAAACATGAAAAAATGCCGGGAAACGACAACGTTTTCAGACAGAGACCCATGAAACAGATAAAGCTTCGCGGTTAAGGAATGGAACCTGTAGAAGAAAGAAGACTGGCAGTAGAAATCTGGGCTGAAAGGAGTCGCCTTGAAGCTGCTCTGCATATTTCTTCTTCTTCTTCGTGTTCTTGCAAAAACTCAAAGTTCTGATTTTTTTTTTTTTTTGTTCAGTTTGAATCTGATGAAGAAGACGAGATTTTCACGAGGGAAAAAAGAGAGGAAAGCGTTAAATGAAGGGAAGGTGAAATCTCTAAACCGAGAAAAGATGGCGAATCAGTACGGTAGGAGAGAAACCATAATTTATAAAATAAATTCCAAAACAGATTTTTTTTTTTTTTTAAAAAAAAAAGAGGTGAAAAGAGAGAATCAGGATTTATTTATTATTGCGTCTCTGAGCCTGGGATTTTAGTTTCCCGATATCCAACACACACACCCACGTATCCCTCAAATACCATTTTTTTAAAATAAATAAATATTTTTTAATAAATTTTATAATTGTTGTACAACTGTTGTATATCTCTTGACAACTTCCTGTGTGTATATATATATATATATATATGTAACTTGGCCCATAGGCCATTGGCATTGGGGGCCCAAAACACAACACAAACGTGTAGCTGGTGACCTAAACGACAGTGTTTTGATTCGAAGGCAGCAAAGGGTCTCCCTCTGTTCCAAAATTTTCTCATCGTTCTCGAGTTTATTTGTGTTCGTTTTACTTTATTTTATTATTTTCGTGTGCTACTGATGGCGGTGAGCTTCAGCAAATCTGCATTTCAGGTAAAATCACTCACCGATTCACCGTGAAGCTCCGATTTTGTTGCCGGAGGAAGGAACGGAAACGCCGTCGTATTGGGTGGCTGTCTTTAAGTCCTCGGACAGAAACAAAGGCTCAAAGTCTTCTTCTAGTCAAATCGAATCCACCACGAATTGTGCTTGGTGTGAACTTGCTTGATTATTCCCGTTGTTCCGTTCACTCGAGTTCATCTCCGGTTTAGTTTTTTAAAGGTTCGTTAAGCGGTGGGATGAACTACGAATCGTATGATAGCAGCGGTGAGTTTCTCATTCCGAACATCGAGCTGTTCTCTGTTCATTCTCTTATGTCGCTCGCATAAATTAGGGTTTCTGAGTCACAAAATCTGCGATTTTCCCCCTTTATAGTATAGAGAAAATGCGCATTCTAGTTGTGGTGGGTCGGTGTGAAATCTCGTTTTTCATTCAGGTTTTGGGTGTTTCAAACATAAATGGATATAGGGCCTTCGAGTTATTGTGAGCAATGTCGAAGTTGCGCGATCCTCTTATCTCTCTATTTTTCGCGTTTTGCATTGATATTGGAAAGAGTTGTAATGCTTTGAAATCGGCGGTGAGATTAAGTGGATGAGCCTTAATTCTGATTCAAGGAAGAAAAATGATGTGGTGAAGTTGATCACTGTGTTAGATTTTGATCTTGCCCCTTGTAAACCTGATATGATTTTGTAACCTAACAGCCTTTTTCTTGTGATCTCTCTGCAGGAACAGATGATGATCTGCCTCCCTCTCATAGAGTTTCTAGAGGAGGGCGTGTCACTGGAAATGGAAGACCTTCTACTCTCCCTCCGTCATACTCAAAGATGCATGAAGATGCTGATATGGAAGCCCAAATTCACCAAATCGAGAAAGAAGCGTACATTTCCATTCTCAGAGCCTTTAAAGCCCAAGCAGATGCAATAACATGGGTACTTGCTAGATTTGATTCACCCTTAATCCTTCACCATTAAAAAGGGCTTCTGATTTGGTAACTGACCTCTTCTATGTATATATTTTCTTCAGGAGAAAGAAAGTCTGATAACGGAACTCCGAAAAGAGTTGAGACTATCAAATGAGGAACACAGGGAGCTTCTAGGCCGTGTTAATGCAGATGATACAATACGTAGGATAAGGTGTGCAAAGTCTCAGCCTTTCCTACTCTTGAAGAGCCGGAACACTGCTAAGCTTTTCATGCATGCCACCGTCTTCTCCTGTTCGAGTAAATCAAATTAACTCTGACGTTATTACTTATTATAGGGAATGGAGACAATCTGGAGAAATGAAATCGGGTATGCGGGATGCTGGTCAAGCTGTTCATGATGCATTGCCGAGTCCTTCTGTCTCAACATCTCTTAAGAAACAGAAGCCTAACCAGCCAATACCTTCTCAGCCATTCACCGGTCCTTCACCTTCGTTTCATGCTCAAGCTGGGCCTATGCACCAACTATCTTCATCAACAGCTAAACGGGGATCTGTTCCAAGTGCCAAGGGCAAAAAACATAAACCAGTGAGTTAGAACTCAAGAGAGTTGGAATATTTTCAATCAAAACGTTTCCTTCTATGGTTCCTTTTCTTATTTCTTTTGTTGCAAGGTTTTGCCCGGTTCATCTTCCACGAAATCGATGTCATATTATCCTTTAGACCAAAACCCGAGGGGACAAGTCGTGAACAGGATACCTTCTCGAGCTGCCTCTTCTGGTGAACCCACGGAAGGAGTAGCATCTTTGGTAGGACGAAGAGTTAGGACCAGGTGGCCTGAGGACAATACATTTTACGAGGCTGTTATCACGGATTATAATCCAGTTGAGGTATGTGGTTTGTCAATTCACATAAATGTCAGTATTTTTCAAGAACATGGTTTCTTTTACTATTATTATATGCTTATTGCTTTTACTTTTAGGGTCGTCATGCCCTAGTCTATGACATTGGAACGGCTAGTGAGACATGGGAATGGGTCAACCTCTCGGAGGTAATTAGCATCCGTTCTTTATGTTACAGGGGTTATTAACTCATGCACATATCGAAGCACATCAATTGTTGCCAGTATTCATAGTAATTTACTTGAAGAGTATGTAATGTGTATCTTCTAAAGTTCCCTAGCACTGTGTTCTATTTAAGACAATGCTTCGTATTAGTTCATGATAGATTTTTTTCAAACCTTTTGACAGATCTCTCCAGAAGATATGGAGTGGATAGGAGAGAATCCTGTTATTGCTCATCGATATGGTTACAATGGACTAAATAGATCAAAAGGACCCAACAACGTTCTTGAAAGGGGGAGAGGTTTACCAAAGAATCCAATCAGAAAAGATTTCAGGACATCGCAGAACGGAATTGGAAAGAAGACATCAAGGGACATACGAATTCGTCAGACAGATGTACTGATTAGAGAGGTAACTGTGGCCCTCCTTGATTTTTCAGCACAGAAATGGTAAATCCACAATGACAATGATTCTGATAGGTGGAGAGAGTGCTTGGTTCAAATAACCCCGACCCTCAAGAAGTTGCAAGGGCGAGGAAAGTTTTGGAGGTTAGACAGAAGAGTGATCCAGATCTCTTCCTTTACTCTTCGGTTGCTTACATTATTCAAGTCATCACTTGACTGTCTTGAATTCAGGAACAAGAGCATGCACTTGAGGACGCAATTGCAAGGCTTGCAGATATTTCTGACGGAGAAAGTGGTACGCTGTTTTTTGTTATATGATTCTCAAATCTTCTGATCCTTTCCCAAGTTAGTAGTACTTGACATGTTCTTCTGTTTCGTCATCACCAGTTGTATTCCCTTCATTTGAGCAACTCAAGAAAAAAAAAGCAACCCTCAATATATATATGGATACATATACATATATATCCAAACCGGCGACTCACTAACTCATTGAAGTTTAGGGTCCACTGAAATTCTCGTTTTATGGAATTGTGGACAGAGGGAGGTTATCATCTGTAGCTTTGTTACGCACCAAGAAGGGCAACTTCACTTCCCAGAGACAGTCTGCAAAAATGTGTACATTGGGTGGGTGACAAAGAATGCCATTGGAGGTTTAGAGTCTCGACTTGTCCTTTTTCTTCTACCTGAGTGTAAATTTTTGCTGACCAACGATAAAGCTCTATCCGCTCCGACTTTGCTCATGGCAATCATCTCTGGGTGATCATCAAATGTCACAGGCACTGTCAATTATGGTCTTTTTTTTTTCTTGCTGCTGGTTTTTATGTTGCAGAAATGGAAAATCATGGATCAAATGAGAGAATTATGCTGCATATGAAAGCATAGAAGAAGAAAAAAGAGTCAAATAAAAAATAAAACCCTGAACTATGACTTGCCTAATGTGTTTAAATAAAGAATACTGATGCCTAAAGCCATAACGCCTACAACTTCTAACCGTCCTTCAATATCAGGCTACATTGGTTCACTACGGATAACATAATAAATGTACAAATCCCTTATTACCGTTTTACCTTCTAGTTCTTTTCTTGGGCCGTTTGCTATCCTTCCCGCCACAGCTGCCACTGGTTTTCCGACCTTGTTTGCCGGAAGAGGAGGCGGCCTTCCTCTGTTGTCTCCCTGTGACTTTTTTCAATGGAGTGCTGTTGTGTTCTTCGGGCTTCCTTTTATCGGCATTGTTGCTCCTCTGTTCTTTTTGTTTGGCTTTTGTATCTTTCTTGCCGCTCCCACCACTCTTGTTCTGTTCTTTACCTGTGCTTCCTCCTCCTTTCTTTGGAGAGTTGGCTGGAGAGTTCTTTATTCTCTTCAAGAAATCGGCTACGCTCTTCTTCTTACTGGATGATCGTGTCTTCTTACCGGTTTTAGGAGGCTCTTGCTTTGTATCCTTCGATGAATCTGTTTCGGGGGCTGCCTGTTTCTTGATATTCTTTGCTGCGGATGAAACCCCTTTGTTTGTTCTCTTCGAGCTTCTTACACTGGCCACAATCTTGTCCTTTTCTCCCGAAATCTCATCCGGTTTATTCTCCCCTCTTTGGCTAAAGCAAGGCTTTGTTGAAACTGAACTCCTCGTCCTACAAACGACAAGAGGGGCCGGATATTTCAGCTGAGTAAGGGACAAGTCTGATGTATCGGGGTCAGGTTTGACATGAAGTGGATGATCACTCTGCAGAGGAAGTGAGGTTGATTTTGGGGATTGTTGATTGAGTTTGATGGAGACGAGGGATCTGAGTTGGTGGGCGGCAGTGGATTCGGAGGAAGATTTAGGGAAGAAGACGAGGGCGTTGGTGAAGAGAAGATGGAGGTCTCTGTAGAAGGAGAGGGTGGAGGCAGAGTAGTATCCTTGTTCGAGCTTCTTCTGAATTGTCTCCAGGTCCAAATGTTGCCTGACCAAGCTCTTGTACTCCTCCGTTTCCTTCAAAGTATAAAAAAAAAAAAAAAAAAAGCTTTTAATATTTTCCTGGTCCATCCCCTATTCGATTTATATATATATATATATAAAGAGAAGCAGAAACCAAAAAAAAAAACAGAGCAACAACCAAATGTAAAGGGGTGGAACATGGATGGGAACTCTGAATATATTCATCTAATGGACTTTGGTGCAAATCCAAACATTCGGCCCAAAGGCCCAATAAAAGCCCATGTATGACCAGTCTTGAAAAAACCAAAGCCGACGCACAATACAACAGCGCCACGTGTCTCAGCGAGACTAAAAGTCGAATTCAAAATATAAAAGAAGAGATCAGCCAGAAGAAAAATAGAGGGGAATAGTTTAGGGAGGGAGAAGGAAATTGGAGTGGTCCCGGACCAATTGCACAATGTTTTGAAACGTTTCATTGCTTGTTCTCTAGGAATGAGGAACAAGAAAATAGCTACAAATCTGGAATATAAAAAAAAAAAAACAATTATATTAGTTTACCCATACGTCATTTACTATAGCATTTGCCATTTAAAACTCAACGGGTTCCTCTCTAATAGTTAATATATATATATATATGTATATTTTACTAGATAATAATAATAATAATAATTTCTGCAAGCATTTACGTATTAATGATTTTGTCAACACTTCCCAAATGTAATTTTGATAAAAACATTATAGTGCGGATCTAGATATATATATATATATCATACTTTAGACTATGGGTGAGATTTTTTTTCTTTCTAAATTTAAAATAGGCCAAATCTGTCGGAAGTATGATAGACCAACGATTTAACATTAACATATTATACGTATATCATATAATTCCAAAACTACTTTTCAATATCTTTTCCCCGCCGGAAAACAAATACCATTGCACAAAGCAATCGAAAAACAAGAAAATATATATACATATATACACATATATATGTGTGTGATTAAAATTCAAGTAAAATAATGAGAGAGAAAAAACATGAAGGATATTTTGCGTACCTGGGTTCGAAACCGGCGTTCGAACAAGGATCCACACGAATGGGCCCGAATCATTTCAAGGAACGAAATCAACGGCTCTGATTTACCCTCTACCGACCTCATCTCTCCGCCGACGAGACCTTCCTCGCCGCTCCTATTCTTCCTCCCTTTCCTCTTCCACGTCCTACCAAATCCTTCCGACGTCCCCGACTCGCCCAACTCGCCCGAGTGACTCACTTCCGATCCCCTACTCCACGTTTCTTCTTTCGCCGCCTTGCAATCCGGATCGGGATCCAGATTCGCCGATTCCTCTCGCTCCTGGCCGTCGGCGCCGGGTTTCCCGCCCGAAGCAGTCGAGTTCGACTCGTTGATGGACATGTTCTCTCGTTCAGACTCCTCCTCCGCCTTCGCCGAGTTTGGCCTCGCCGGTTCAGTCCCGTCGTTCTCCGATCTATCTCCCTTTGAATCACCGTCCAGATCTAGTTTCCGGTCTCTCTCCTCTTCTAATTTCTTAACTTTCAACTGAAGTGACCTGAATCGAAATAACACGAACGAACACACACAAAAAAAAAAAAGAGAATTGAAAAACAAAAAACTCAGATCCATCTAAAAAACAACGGAGACAGAGAGATTTATGTACAGTATCGAGACGTCATATCGGTGGAGCTCTCGCCGGAGCTCCGCCACGCGAAGGCTCCGGAGCTGTTCGAGCCAGGGGATGTTATCGTCTTCGTCCTCTGCGTCGTCCGTCTCGGCCTTCCCATCCTCCTCGAACCGGCGCTTGAGATCTCGATACTTCTGCTTGCAATTCTGAGCGGTGGTGAGGAGACGAGGGAGAGAGCTCCGGGACTGGACTTCCATGGCGACGGAGTCCCAGTCTCTGAAGCCGTGACGTTTGACGGCGGATGCCAACAACAACTCCTCCCACGTTCCCCATGCTTTCCTCTGCTTCCGATTATTATTAATATCGTCTCGGATGAGATTATCACCGCTACTATTATTATTATCGTTAGTAGTATTGTTATAGTTCTCGTCGGCGTCGTTCATGGCGTCGAGTGTTGTCGTCCCTGCGTTCATCATCCGTCCCCCATACTCTCTCAAAGAAAACGCTCGCAGTTTTAGGGATTCTCTCTTCTTCTTTTGTATATAATAATAATTCTCTTTTCTTTCTCAGGTTTCGTGTTTTTCTTCCCTTGTCTGTATTTTTGCCTTTTGTATGTGTATGTATGAACTGGTACTCATTTTTGTGTATTTAAAAACCAATTTCCAGCCTCATCTACTTTATATGTATATATATGTATATATATACACGGGCCAATTCACGCAACACACCATAACAACCAAAAAAAAAATTGATATTTATCTTTCGGAAGCGCGTCTTCCTTAAACCGTCTGCGATGGGGGGGGGGAAGTGGCGAAATTATAATTACGGAAATACCCTCTCGGGGTTACTGGGAATACGAAATGTCTTTCTCCATCGGTTGGTAAAAGTTAGGTCAAAGAGAGAAGATGAACGCTTCTATCTTTGGGCTTTTTAGATACGGATCCATATATATATATGGGCCTTATATTTGTTTAATTATTCAATCATGGACTCTTCAAGGCTTTTGGTAGCAATACACAGGGGCCCATTCCACCTAATTACAAATCTCTCTTTCTAGAGCCGGTTTCTTCATATCCGTTACACTTTGGGAACAAATCAACTTGAAATGATTTGGAGATGAACTGACCGTAGCATGGGATGGGATGAGAAGTCAGCACCTTTTCCAGTCTCCGTTAGTGGTTCTCTCGAACAAACGAGGTTGCCGCCTAGGAAAGGTTTTTGTCCACTCAGGGTATCTCAGCAAGTAGTCCCAGACCCTGAAAAACTAGGAAGAGTTATGAACCAACCGTCTTTCTACCGAGCTCGGCTCAAGTGTTTAAACCCATGAAACTCGACATTCCCTAATTCCTTGGCTTCGGGTAGTAGTATTCTTTACGTATTGTATCTATAGCATACGTCAATAAAATACGATGTATATCGTATTATATCAGATATAATACGGAGGAAACTCTAGGTTAAACCACAGTTTTAATTTAAATTACATTACTTCGGTTATGTCGTGCATTTACCTTCTTTCATTATTTATGAAATCTGGACCTTCTGCGGAGGGTGAGGTAGAGCATGTGCGGAGGATTTCCTCGTCAGGAAGCTGGCGAAGGTTCCACGCGATATGTACAAGTCGTATGGTCCTGAATTACAAACAATAGGCAAGATGAATAATTACTGTGACGGAATTGCTCTTAATCTGAATCAACACATCGGATGATACAAAATAAATAAGAGGTTGAGAGGAATGCACGAAATTACAGTTTTTTTTTTACCAGCTGCATGGTGCAATGACGAATCTGTCAGTTTTTGTGTCATATGTATCAATCAACTTTCCCTCCCAGTTAGAGTCTTCGTATGATACAGAAACACGAATTCTCCGGACAATCTCGTCTGGACATCTTGAAGATCTATCAAAACTGGCCGGAAAAATTGAACCAGTGGAGGCCTCCACCTGAATAAAGGTTGCAGAGTCAGGATATGATTGATTCATAGTTAAATTTGAAATCCTAGACTTTCGTATGTGAGGAAGCTAAATGGCTGATATATACTTCCAAGTACTTTCCTTCACTTCTCAGTGGAGGAAATACAAAACTGATATTGTATGCCAAAAATACCAGTTGCAAAAGTCAAATTTTACATGTAGCTTCTGAAAATTTGAGAGAGGAGAAACTCAATAAATTTTACATGTTGAAAAACTCAATAAGTTAAGACTTTTCATCACTAATATGTAATATCTTAGCCCAAGAAGGAAAATCTGCGAATAGTGAAAGTAGCAAAGAAGTTGAGGCTAACCAGGCATCCATTGAAAATGGGGTATGTGTTCCCTTGAGCATCACACTTGGTATTATGTTCAAGAATACAAAGGGTCTGAATGTGAAAGCTTTCTCGCCTCTTCTGCAAAGTTTCAACTAATTTGCAACACAATGGGAAGGAGTAACTCTCTGGTTTTGCATGTTGATCTCCATCATTGGAATGCTGCATAGAAAAGTCAACACATTCAGCTTAAATTATTCTGCGGCTGATTAGACATAGTAGCAGAGAACCCCGGTGCAAACTTTTATGGCGATATCTTCAAAACCTCCGACCATGTGCACCTGCATATATAAAGTCACTGAAATACTCAAAAGGACTGAAAAACAATTATAAATAACCAAAGTAGCCCAAAGAACACTTGGCATCTAAAAGATAGAGAAATTACATCTAACTCAGTCTCAAAATTATCATCCAAAACCAATGATAGCATCTGACTGATCCCCGCATCCACAACTTTTGGTGAATCCATGTGAGCAAGGGATGTCCTGCAGGACAGCTTCAGATGATTAGCGATTATATACCAACAGAATTTAGCACATTAGTGCATTTAAACAGAATCCCTAGAAAAGAACTTCAGTTGCGGATAGGATCAGCTCTTACATTCCAGATTTTCTGTTACGGATAACAAGGCCCACACAAGTTGTTGCCTCATCAGTGCCAGCAAACTTTTCATTTTCAGAGTAATAAGCAGGAGAAATAATTCGTTAGACAAAAATAAACTAAACTAACCAGTTGTGATAAATAAAACATCAGCAACCTTCACACAGTTCAGTTGGCATAAAGGTGATTACATGATGCTCTCATAGAATATGCAGAATATATGGTGCTAGTTGAGCATAATGATACATCATTGTGGAAAACCCGCAATACCAAACAGGATATAGAGGTCAAGGGGTTCAAAGATGAACTTTTTGCAAGAGAAACATAATGATGCAGCTTTAAATTTCAATGGATGAAACAACTCATTAGCATGATGATTGATGAATGACTTAAACAATTTCGAGGACCTAGAGCAGCAATGTAATTCTTTAAGATGGATTTCTGAGGCAAAAAAAACATACATCAACGAGTGCAGGGTCCACAGTGGCATATTCTCTTTGGAAGAGGTAAACATATCTGCCCTTTGTTGTCCTCTCTGAACCGCATTCTTCGAAAGAAACCTTCTGTTCCTTCAAATTCTTAAAAGAATCGGAAGATGACACCAACAAGGGATGCTTCATTAAATTAAGAAGCTGGCTGTTTCCCTGGTCATGTGATTTTACATATCTATCAGCCATATATGGTGTTGCAAAAGAAAATTCCAAGGTTTCGGTTCCTCTAAAATGCAGAGAATAAAAGTTGTAGGATCACAGAAAATTATAAACATAGGAGAAAAAGAACATCAAGCAAATTAAGATACGGAAAAACGCAAAGCACACCTCAAGATTTGGGACACTATATCAGAACATAACGTCTATGGCGCTTCCTGGATTCATACATTTTCAGTTCTTCCCATAGAGCTCTGAGTTTATTGAAAAAAGTACTAAGGTTCAAAGAACCCTGTTGCAAAAGTTCAATCTGCTGCTCCAGATGAAAAATTGTAGAATCGTTTTGCTGTTTATACAGCGTTTCTAATGTAGTCCAAATTACAGCAGCATCATCAAGATACATGACTTGAGTGGCTATGTCAACGGACAGGGAATTAGTAAGCCATGTTCCGACGATGGCATTACAACGATCCCAAGCACCGAGATCAGGGTGATCATCGGCCGGTTTAGGGACAGTCCCATAAAGAAAACCAAGTTTGTTTTTAACCCAGAAAGTTTAAGCTTCATACAGATAGCGGATTAGCTACATTTGATAGCTTTTGATTCACATCTCCTGTCACCGTAAGACTTAGAGCCAATAACAAAAATGTGCACAAGGACATAAACACTCATATACCAATTTTTGCCGAAATTTAGCTCCAGATTCAGAAAGCATCCGGACAAAGAGCGGAAAATCCCGACTCGTAAAATAATATTTACCATGATAAGCATCTGGACAAGCAAGCTGATTTTGCGTCAGCACATTATACGTCAGAATCGTAGTTCGAAAACATTTTCATGAATCATTAGAACTTCATCCACAAACCATTCTCTTTATATGGTCACTGTGAAGCTCGGGCGCTCATTTTCTTCTACATTTGCGATCAGTACAACGCAAACAGACAGCGAAATCGACTGAAACGTTCCGTATTACGATGAACTCTGTACTAACAAGAACCAAAGATCGGAGAAATAAAATGATATGCCACGAATTTTACCTGCGACGAGGAAGACAAGGACGATGAGCTGCTATCATCAGGAAATGGAACACCGCCGACGTAGATCATGATCGACAGAGACACAGAGAGAGAGAGAGAGAGAGAGAGAGAGAGAGAGAGAGAGAGCTTTATCCGCGGCGATGAGAGAGGACAAGAGCTCGACGGCGACGACGACGACTGATGCAACTGTTCACCGTATGACTCAATCCCTGACTGTTGTGTTTTGTTTATTTTTCATTTTATTTTTTAAAACTAAAGCAAGGAAACTGCCGCACGGAAGACTAAATCGAGAGATTGTCTGCCGTTTTCGATTTATTCCACAGAACAGTTTGACGTTTCCACCGCATGAGTGGCCTGGCCTGAGGCTATTACTTTCCTCGAAATTACATTAACGATCCCTGTATTATGAATATTGTGCGAATCTACCCCTCTACATCCAAAAATGGAAGCCACCCTCAAAATTTTATCTATTGAAACTATACCAAAGCCTTGTTGACTAATAAAAAAATCCTTTAATACGAGATACAAGTAAAAACAAGGACAAGGAAGAAGTAGAACCATATTTGAATACCCGATTGAAGGTTGCCAATCGAGTGGATGTTTTATACGAGCCGAATAAAGATTTTTCTAACTCGTTTAAAAAACAGATTTACAAAGACCGAGCCACTACGACAAGATATAAGCCGATTCGCGAGACGGAATTTTTTTTTAAAAACATTACAGTTTTGTTATTATTTTCTTTTTCTTTTTGTTTTCTTTTATTTTTTAATTTTTGTATTATGTTTTATCTTTCTTTTTTTTTTATTTGGTTTTCCCCAACTAATCGTTCGAGTTAGATCTTTTTTAACCGGGCTCGTTAAAAAATGGGCCGAGCCGAACCGTGCCCAAAAAAGTCTGAGACGGCGACGAGTCGGGATCCGGGCCACACCCCCACAAACAAAAGAAATGGAACAAGACAAAAAGACATACAAACTCTGTCTGGACAGTACATGAAGTCACCGGGAACATGAAGTTCTCTATAGGAACCAGTTACCTTTCAGATGCACAGGAAGCTACATGTAAGCAGAATGTACATTAAACCATCTTATACAGACAATGCTTTAACGGGCAGGAAATAGACTTGGCATCTTTGTTTTCAATCATCTCAACCTTCTCCTTCTGTACCTTGTCCGAGGTCCATCATCAACATCTCGAGTTTCCGTTCTTCTCCTAGAAGATGAAGCTGACGGAACTGAGGGTGAAGGATCCATTCCCCCAGCACGGGCAGCTGGGTTTCTCATCTCCATGGAGGCATCAGTGACGACAAACTCTGCAGGTAACGTGACGGGAAAAGGCACAAGAGATATCACCCGAGAAGTCGTATCTAAGACTCGGATGTTCGGCTCAGTAGCACCTATGCTTCGGGATGAGTTTCTATCAGCAATGCGAGAAGATCGCCGCCGGTTTCTTCTTACGTTACTTGAGTCCACATAACTATCAAAAGTATCAATTGGCTCCTGCAAGTAATCAACTGTAACACCTGCTGGGAAAGAAGAAAATGGTGGCATTGCAGGAGGAAACAACCTCAAAGGTCCGAGGGGTTGATTTCCCAGGTTCCCATTTGTTATCGGATTGGCCATTCCGATATCATAGCCTCGAGGCAGAGATTGCTGTTCTATTGCATCAATAGCCCTTCTCATTTGTTGGATTGTTTCATGCGTTGGAAGAAATGGGATTGCCCGATTGATGACATTTTGGCGTACACTTTCAACCCTCTTCGCAGAAGGCCTTGGAGGGACTAATATACCAGATTCCTTTGACTTAGGCATATTACCATCACAGTCATCTCCATTGCCATATATCGGAATAACCTCACTGTCAGTCACTTCTCCATCACAGACAGGGCATTCCTTAGCGTTGAAATAAGAGCAGGGCAACTGATAGAAGCAGGACCAGCAAAACAAGTGCCCGCAACAAGTCAATACCGGATCTTCAGCCCTCTCTAGACATATGTTGCAGTCGAAGTACCTACCAGCGACAGCATTTGTTTTCTCCATGCCCAATGCCTTAGCTATCAAATAAGTTGGATCGGTCTTGCTAAGCGTGCAGCTTTCAATCCTGGAACGCTCATGGATATACCCTGCAGTGGCCTCTGGGTTTTCATCGACGACCAAAGCCGGTGTTTCTCTTTCTAATGGTCTCGACGTTTCTCGTTCCCTGATTCTAGAGACTATGGCTTCAAGCTGCCTGAGGCGCTCTTCAATTTCCCCATGCGACCTTTCTAAGTCCTCTAACCATGGTGCAATTTCCGCGATCAGACCATTGGCATTACCTGACTCTGAAGGTTCTTCATTCAAATCCAGATCCATGACCTCTCCTTCAACACCGGCCCACATGAGAGCTACACCAAAAAAAACACAGAGGGATTGTTCTCTTCTCTCGATCAAAAACCCGAACCAAAATACTCGATCACCAACATCTCTCTGCAAGTAATAAGATAGTTGCGGTGACCAGCTTCCTCTTGGAAACCAAATCAAAACGTAGTGTCCCACAGTTCCACCGTTTCGCCAGAGTGAAAATCTATGAGCCTCACAAAGTCACACCCAATGAAAACTCTTCGAAAATTCAGATCAACCAGAAGATTGAAGAATTACGAAACTTAGGAAGGCCCTAAGACCGTAACAACACCCACAAATTCTGCAATTAAGCAAAGCATGCATCTGTATTGCAGTACCAAGCAAAACGAAAGGCCAACTTCGAGGTAATTTTCCTCGAAATTTTCTGGAAAAACTCCATCAACCTCGGAATTTTACAATTCCATAGTCGAAACTCAACAATTCACAAACCATAAACGAAACGAAATAATGAGGACCCGATCAGAGAAAAAACAAACGAGCAAATAGATCAAGAGGAGAAGGAAGAAGAAAGCGAAAACAAACCTGATGCAGTACAGAGATCGGAGATCAAAACAAACGGCGAATGACGTCATATTCCATGGCGGTGGCCATGACCGCTGCGCCTTGGCGAGAGAGAGAGAGAGTCGAGGTATTGTTGTTAAGACGGAAGCATTTCCATTTCAGCAAATAAATCGCAGCAAAAATAACGGGCAAAGGAAAATTTGCTTAGAAATTCGAGGAAATAGATTTTTATAACGTGAAAGAAAGAATTCATTAATTTAATTTAATTTAAAACGTGGATTTGAATACAGTAATCTGAGAAATCCGAATTTACTTTTTAAATAAATATTTGATTGAGTCTCGCACTACACGACTCGTGCTGACTCAGCACAACCCATTAATAATGTGTAAATCATAAACTCTTATTGGTGCCAAAACAGAAACAATAAAATCGTGTCCTATATCACAATTTTTAATATATATATATATATATATAGAGTTATTGCAGAGCAATGTTATTTGAAAGGCGGAGATTCTAAATATTAAGTATATATGTAAAATTTAAATTTTATTTTTTGATATTTCTATTTTATTTATATGTACTAGTACAGTTCTAAACATTAAATTATTATCATATGATTTGCCCTTGGTATAACTCATATGATCCGAGATTATAAGCTCGGATTTAAGTAGATCATTTCGTAGTTATAAAAAGAAGTAATTTTGTCAAATTATATGTTTTAAAAGGGGCATTATCAAAAATACCTTTCATTTGATATTTTGACTTCTAGACATATCCTTCTTCAACTGTGATCCATATGATTCGAAATATAATATTGATCACATTAATCATGACGTTAAATTTATAATAATCACACTCATTCATTATATTCATACCTTATATATCTCACTAATCATTTGATAAAAATATTAAAAATTTAATGTTATGACCAATGTGACCAAAATTATATTTCGGATCACATGGGGCACATGGTCATGTAGAGAAAAGTATGTCTTGACGTCAAAATAGCAAATGGAGTGTATTTTTTATATATTGTCGTTTTAAAACCGTTCAAAATAAAATCATTGTGATACTATTTGAATAAAATTAAGGGACAATAAAATATAAACCAAAACGAATAAATAAACATATAAAAAAAATACGATGATAAATGATAATAATAACATGACAAAACAAGTTGGAGTTCTACATTATTCAAACACGCGAAAACACGTATATTACAAGGCGCACCATACACGCACGGAGATGGAAGAAGTCACCTTTTGCTTCGACATATCCTCGTGGCCATGACAATAAGAACGCACGAAACATCACCCAAAATGATTCAATGAAAAACAAAATGCACAAACCCAAATCAAGACAAAGATGTTTTTTTTTTTATAAAAAGATCCTTTGTCAGAAGAATCCAAGTACTCCTGCAAGTGCTGAAGGGTCGATTCCCGCGAACACAGAAGGATCAATTCCTGCCAAGTTTGAAAAATCGAACCCAGAAAACATCGATGGATCCAATCCTTGCGTCGATGAAGGATCGAATCCGATGGAATTACTGTTCATCAGTTGATGAAAACTTGCCAAAGCAGTTCTGATGTTCGGGTTAACTGTTGGAGGCGTTAGGTTAGGAATCAGGTTAGCCTGTCCGCGAAACAGTGGCGCAGCCACAACCTGCGGCGGCGGGGTTGTCTGGGTC